GGTGCGACAGCGTGACGCGCGTCACGTTGCCAATTTTTCCCTCGACCAATGTGTCGAATAATTATTTTTTTGTCAAATGAGATTCCCGTAACAATCAGCGGCACGCTAAAATATCATATAGGTATGATAAATCGGTGAGTATATTGGTCGCATTAGAAAATCAGAAGTCGATCAACAAATATGGGCGCGGCCGCTGTAATTGCACGTGCAGTGTTATTGTACTTGCTTGTATAGCAGCGAACTCGTGGATGAGTAAGAAAATCGCCTTATAGCCGCACGACGCGTGCATATACGTAAGCGCTGTTTATGCACCGAAAGCTCGCATGTGTGTGTGAATTTGTGCTTTTATAATGCCTTACGTGCGCATCATCGTCGATGCGTCCTATATAGCATAGAAAATCAAGGTGAGGACGACGTTACGCCGCTGCTCCATCGTCCACGCATATTATGTATAACTTGCAACTTATCAATTTTCTCGATTACGACTCCGTGTGCGTATGCGTACACTCGCTCTCTGCTCTGCTCTCGATACATGTGAAAAAGTATATATTCGTATTCGATTGCGCGACGACGTGCCTATATATGAACACGATTATACATACATACGTATTTGCTCCGCGAGTTAAAACACGGCCGATCGGCGATGAGCAATTTTTATTGTCTTTCGTTCTCTCGCCGTCGTTTAACAAATATAATATCTCTCTCTCTCTCTCTCGCTAAAAATCCGAGTTATTGTGCTCGCTCGAGACTATATTGCATCACGCACGCATTATACATATATATATACGATAGAAGATACGCGCGACGATTACACGCATAGAGATGTGTGTCAGTTGTCGAGCTTCAAAGGCCACACAAGTGCCCCGCGATCGTCGCGAAACGTGCGACGACTCTGCAGCTGCCTCGCGCGATCTCGTGCCTCGTTTTTTTTTTTTTTTTTTTTTTTGCCACCGCTTATAGGTGTATAATTATTATAGTATACAAAGCGTCGATAATCGCGGGGAGACGTGCCGCTCGGAGCGTGTTCGTCGAGTCGCTCTCTCGAGCTGTCAAAATATGTATTATAATCGTCGCGATTTTACGTGCCTGCTCGGCCGTTTCGACGGTTCTCGCGTTATCGTGCGCCGCTGCACATTCGCGTTGCAGTGGCTCTATTGTCAACGACCGAAAAAAAGCTCAGCCGCAAAAAAAGAAGGAAAAAAAATCGCTCGACGGTGGCTCGACTCGTGATGTTTACGTTTCCGTGTTGTGCATACATATATGCTGCGTGAGGTCCCTCCCCGAAACAAAGGCAGCAGCTGAGCTTAGATACGTGTATATAGCCTGCGATGCAATTGCACCGGAGCAATTCATTAAAACGTATTTATAATACAATGCCGCGCTGTATTACGGCCGCAGTTTTGCAACTCTTTTTTTTCTCGTTCTCTCTCTCTCGAAAGAGAGACGGAGATGAGAGAAGAGCACAAGAGACACGTCACTCTAGCAGCAGCAGCAAAAGCTCTCGAGAACCTTCCCACGTTTATAACGCACTACTCGGGGGCGATCCTTTTTTCTTTGACTTAATTTTGCACCACTACGCATACAAAGCCTGATTGAGGCACTTTTGTAAGGGCTCCCTAACGAGCGCATCTTCTTATTCATCCTCGTTGTTCGTCGGAGATATATTGACCATGGGCGACCTTGTCGTGGCGCTCGAAACAATCACGACTCATGGCCCAGCTGCCGATACGCTTATTAATTCGTTCTGATCGTTTGTTGTTTTCTTTTTTTTTTTTTTTTTTTCATCGCTCGACTCGAGCTGCCGTGGAAATTGACCTGTCTTGCGAATCGCGGCGCAATATGTGTTTGTTATTCAAAAAGTCGACTCACCGCGTTGAAAAAATATGGAAAACAGTTGGAAAAACAATCGCGAGCGGCTCGACTGGCGAAATTCGACGATTTCTTGTAAAAAAGGGTGTAGCGATATTATACCATCCCTCGCGCGTCACTCGAGCACGCAGCGGCTATCGACGCGCAACGCAATTTTCTATTAAATGTAATATCAATTCAGAGAGAACGAGAAACGCCGGTGATCTGAATCGAGGGCTCGATTACAGTGTATATGCGCCGACCGACCGATGCTTGCACGACAATTTATTATAAAGCGAATAAATAACTCCTCCCGGGGATCGCTATTCGCAATTCTGGTATCGTGTATTCTCTCTCTCTCTCTCTCTCTGTCGATACGTACGTACGTGCATACCGCGAGGCCCGATATCTCGTCGAGTGCTCGCCTCGATTCGCTTCGCTTCTTCTCTCATTTTTTTTTTTTTTTTTTTCAAGAGAATAATAATATATAAATGTTGAAGTACGCGCCGTTGTACAAACGAGCAATTGTGTGTGAGTGTGTATCTCGACAATTATTATATAGATGACGCAAGACGTTACGGATATTTCATCTGACGAAAATTTTAATTAATTAGGCAGATTACGCGCTCGCGCGGAGTCGTATATTGGAAGTTCATTCGCGGGATGGTGAGTACGACTCATGGGGCGCGCGTTCGCGAGATAATAAGCGATTTTATCGCGTGACTTAAATAACCGTATGTGTTGTACTTCGCGAGCTAATGCTATTCCGTAAACCCGCAAAAAAACCCGATTTGTGTATACCGTGTAATGTTTACGTAGCGGCCAATTATACTATTGACGTAAACACGACGATTGTTTTGCGCTGCCTATCCATCGATGCGTAGGTGTTGAACCGTACACTGCGCTCGAAAAGAAGATCGAGAGAAGAAAATTACGGTATTACGAGAAATTGAGAAATGCTCTTGTCCCCGCGCGTCGAGCTTTTATCGTTTCCTGGACTCGTGGTAGTAAGTATAAGCGCTGCTTGCTGCTTTTTCTCTGTCTCTCTCTCTCGCACTCGACTCAACTGCGGAAGAACAGCGCGCGGCAACAACGACGCGCATATTATTGCGAAACTCGATGTAACGAGTGTAAGTTAGAATATATAGACAAAAAAAAAAAAAAAAAATCGCCAAGCGACGCGCTCGATTTTTCGCACGTTCGGCCGCGCGCGCACACACAAACACACACACACGCACGTAAACACCGCAGCTCGCGATGACTATTATACTTAAACTACTCTAGCTAAGCTTTAGTGCCGTTATTATTGTTGTTATTATTTTTCGAGCGTTATATGTTATATATACGAGTGTGTGCGTGGGCGAGCGTGGCCCATACGTCAAAGTCGCGCGAGTTCGTTAGGCTCTTCGGTTCAGTAGCAGCAGCGTAAAAGCCACGTCAAATATACGCCGAACGAGTGCCATCGGATATTCGCGATTTTTTTTTGTTCTCGGTGAGTAAACTCCGAATTATAGCCCGTGTTGTTTATCGCTTGTTTTTTTTTCTCTCGCTCTAATAATAGGCCATTTTTTACGGAGGATTAGAGCGTCGACGACGAATAAAAGTAAATGAACTTTTCCGAAGCTCGTGCAAAAGGGGTAATTAATTAAACCGTAAAGTAAAAAAAGTATCTTAATCCTATCTTATTAGTCAATAGGGGTAAGATACTTTTTTGACACCAAGTTCGCGTATACGTGCTTTGCTAACCATTCGAGCGTAATCGAAATCTTCTTAAAAAAGTTTCACAAGCGAGATAAAATCGATATACGAGAGAATGAGCAGCGCAAAGATTCGATTGCAGCATTCCTTTCCTTCTAAATTTGATAAGGGTACACAACTGTCAGCTGACGGCGATGTCGATATTTGTTTACTCGCGTATTGCTCATACTATACTATATGTGCGTTATTATTAAAACGCTTATATGGCTCGCGCGACAATTCGTAATAACGAAAAATCGACAACGTTTCGCAAGATTGTGCGGTGGTCGCGAGTCGATTGATCAATTGATCGTTGCTTCAATTTACTTTTTTTATGTGTCAAATTTGTTCACTTTTCAAAGATCGTTAGGGGACACCTGTTGCTTTCTTTACTCGGGAGATCGCGGGCGTCTTTTCGGTAGCGCTATTTGAGAAATTATATACTGCATATTTTCCTATTTTTTCCGTTATGCATTAAAACTCGTTAGATCGATTCGAGATGGATCGTCAGATAGTATAGAATCGAATCAGCCGTTGCTTTCACTTTTCTTCGCTTTCCTCTTTGATATTTGAAAATTTTCTTAGTTTCCGAGAAAACGACAGTTTTCTCCCATCTCAACCGCCGTGCATTAATTGCACGAAATACATTCGACGGGGTTGACGAGCAATGTAGAAAGCAAAAAAAAAATGACGAAATAACGAAAGAGAAGAAAGCAGAAGCAGTCTAAACCGGGTATTTGGCTGCAGTATATTACTGCTAGTGTGTCTACGTGCGGAACGGCACAGTAGCTGAGCGCCGGGACGAACCCTTCGCAGATCTCTCTCTCCTTCTCCTTTATTCCGGCAGGCTCTATCCGTTCGCGCGGCAAAATTCCCCGGCTGGTTCTCTCTCTCTCTCATCCGCATCGCATGCACGCGATTCATACTATCGTTCATGGAGTAAAAGATGATTTAACATCGGCAACAATCTACGTGTGTTTCATAGTAAAATTAGCAACGTTTGCGATACATTGCGTAAGACTTTGACGGATCCTCTCGGTGTACCGCGAATATGCTGCACTGTCAGTCGAACAATATACTATACACACGCACACACACACACAAGCACACACGCACACACACGACGTATGATATTCGTCGCTTGGAAGTTTGTCGCCCGGCGTATTTCCTCTTGGCGCTCGTTAAATATGCGCGCGGGTTTCGCATGCTCCTCGTTCCGTACAGTATGCAGCCAGCACACAGTCTGCACACAAGCTCGATCTCCCCCCTCTACCTATAAAATTCGCGCGCAGTAAGTCTCGAGAGTCTCGCGAACGCCGACTAATACTACTACTACTACTACTACTACTACGGATTTGGGGTGGTGGGGGTAAAAAAGTTGGAGCAGCAGCAGCAGCGGCTCGTCCAAGTTGTATGTACTACTCGCGTCGGTCGGCGCGACGCGACCTCAGCAGCACAGGCGGCCTAAGCGCCACACCGATTCGGCGACGCTCCGCAGTGAGTCGTCGGCAGTTGGCAGTGGCGCAGCTAGTCGTCGGCAAAAACCGAGAGCCGCAGAGCGCACAGTAGTGGGCACGTGCCGCCGCTGCTATTGTTTCTCCCCGATTACGCCGCGCGACGAATCGAAAACAAAAAAAAAAAAAAAACAGAAATACGCGCACTCTCCGCAAACAACACGCTATAAACATGGAGCCTTGTCGTTGTTGTTGTCGCTGCTCGTCGTCCTACTGCCGGTCGTCGCGTTTCTGAGCGAGGGGAGGGCCCAAGAGCTCTCTTCGCTCGATTGGAACATCATCTCCGCGGCGCGCGACATTGCTTCTCGTGAGCACCTCGTTACGTATACAAACATACACACACACGATTGCGCCCCAGCGTGTAGCTGCTAGAGCTAGCTAGCTGCACCGAAACGGGGGAAAAAAGAAAAGTCAAGGCTGCTGCATACAAGCACTGCTGCAACGAGAGCGTATACCGATGAATAGGAAATTCAACGCCGAGTGAATCGTAATCGAGTTTTTGTGCGTGTCTCGTTTGTGCATACACATCCAAAAAAAGTGCGTCGGTGGCTCGGGTGCGGTATTCCAAGTATATCCATCCAGCTTCTAATCGCCGACCATCCTCGTTACGTTATTTCCTTGTGTGCCAATAAAAAAGCGCATAAAGTGAGGTTAATTCGCGACTCGTTCTCGACTGCTCGATGCATAATAATTCGAGTCGAGTGCACACGTTAGGATCTCAGTGCAGTGATACATCTTGAATATCCGTCGTGCTGCAGGAATCAGCAAAGCTGTCAACACGATCCACCCCCTTGTACAGAAGAAGAAAAAGAACAAATATTTCAAGCGAGGTAAGAAGACGAGCTGCAGTGTGTGTGCGTTATCATATCCCCGAGCCTTCGTGTATTACACATACGTAACTGCACGGCAATATGTAGTGTAGAGCGCGCATAGAGGCACTTACGTATTTGCGCGAGGTCGCGACCCGTTTACATATCGTATATGTGCGAACGTTACACGCCAGAATGAGCAAGAGCGAGCGAGAGAGAGAGAGAGATGAGACACGACATTTATTGATTCAAAACTCGACGATGTTCGCATGCATGCATGCACCACGTCGTCGTAGGCGCGCTCGCTCGATTTATCTCTCTTTCGAGTGCGGTAAAAAAGAATAATAACGAACTGGCTTCGAATTACTTCCGCAACGATCGAGTGCGTGTGTTGTCGTTCGTTCGTTCGCATATTAAAGCCCATATATACGCATGCATACCGTGTGCTTGTGTATTATGCGGCTGCTCGACTACTACCTATATAGGTGTACGTTATATCGAAGAGAGATAGGGATAGGCCGGTGCGTTTCCGGCTAATAATACTGCACGCATATTCGCGCATAGGCGCGCACCTCTACCGTCCCAAAAGAGGCGATGTAACGACACACAAACGGCCGCCGAGAAAGAGAGAGAGAGAGAGCGAGTTGAGTTTATTTTCGGTGCGATGATGATCGTTTCGGTGCTAAGAAATAATTGCGTTGAAGTCGCAAGACGCTGTTCACTGTTGCTAACTCGGCTTTGGCGTTGCGCATGAAATATACACATACTTACTTCATGTTTTTTACACAATATATTTGACACATGGTGAAATTGGCCGCGGCTTGCGAGTCGCGCGCTTTACAAATCGCCGCGCGCGTTGCCCCTCGCGTTTTTCAATTCTTCTTTTCTCACGAAAGCTCGTCGCCTTTTTTACGTAAAGTTCAAGCTAGAGGATGTGTCAAAAGGCGCGCGGGGGGACCTTCTACGGGATCTTGCAGTGTACGTACCAATTTCAATCGTATTATAAGGCGCGTGGGGAAAGAAGCCGCGCGATGTTTCGACGTGCGCGATGCGAGAGGAAACGTCGCGTTTCCGGCGCGCGTACAACAATCGATTGACCCTGACGGCCATCGCAACACGTCGTCGTCGTCGTTTTGTGTGTATATAAATAAATACACGCATAGTTGTGTACATATGCAAGCCGAGACGCGGGCATTTCGGGCGAGTTTTTCACATATTTTTGACATCTCGTCTTTCTCTCTCTCTCTCGTGCAATGTCAACGTACTACACAACGCCCGAATTCGCGATATTAACGAGAGCATATTATAGTAGAGCGTTTATCGATCTCATCGAGACCTTTGCGAAATGCGACGAGTGATTTTTTTTTTTTACGACGAATTAAAACCCCCGAATACTCTTGAATTCTTGTCATAACTTCATAACTGCGTGTATACACATGGTTGAATTGCGAGAGTGAGACACAATCCCAAACAGAGTCGCGGGGCACTTGACGTATACATACCAACCATAGGCTTCTTACAAAACGCGCAAACTTAACATGTCAGAATTCCGGGTACGTACAAACTCTGCCGTATATAGCGGTATGGCAGTAGTAGAGTTAGGTTTCCATCGCGTATCATCTTCGTCATCGATAACGGAGTCTCTTTATGTTCTCGGGGCGGGCGACCTAACATACTCTATTTCGCGCGCGTATACACATACGTATATCGAGAAAAGAAAAAAAAAAAAGAGAAGAAGAAGCAGCAGCAGCATCAGCGTCAGCGCAATGCTCTCGTCGACGCAGAGTTTCGTCACACCAGTCAATGAAAGAAGAAGAGAAAAAAATGTGTCGCCTAATTTCATCACGTTATTTCGTCGCTGTGTCGTCTGCAACTCTAACTTATATCTCTCTCTCTCTCTATACAAATACACACACTCGGATTTGCCTTTTATCAGTGAGTGCACGACGACGCTACTGCCTGCTGCGCTGCACTCGCACGCCGCAGTCGTTTATACACTGCACACACACACGCATACTTTTATAATAATTATATCGGCATTTATCGACACTGACGTGTTCCGGCATGTAATAGCTCGGGCACCGCCGCGCGAGTTACATACACGAATTCAAGTTCTGCGCGAATATCCGTACGTGTGTGTGTGTGTGTGTGTGTGTGTCAGCGATAGGCGGCTATATCGAGCGAAAAGAAAAAAAGGACACGGCTCTTGCTTATAATATAACGTATATATAAATCGCAGAAAACGCGCATACACACACGTACGTTATAGCCTCTGCGCGTTATTTATCATTGCTGAATGACTCGAGGTTAACTGCTGCTGCTGCAGATGCTGATTGCACAAGAGAAGAGATTTATTGGGAAGACTTGAGAAATACAATTATTCGCTCTCAAAAATATAGCGCAGAGACTCTCCGCGCTGCAGCTTTTCGACCGTTCGCTCGTTCTCTCTATAAACTAAACCAAACTGCCCCGACCGACCGACCGACCTAAGCGTTGTGCTATGCGCGGCTAGATCGTTCGAGTGCGTATATATGCTGCTGTATAATAAATCGGACGTTTCGGAAATATCGCCGTAAATCACTTTTAATTGCTGGTATGCGGATCGGCCGGGCATCGCATTGTCAATAATACGGCACTGCACCTCTATACTGGCGAGAGTAAATTCGTGAGCGGTGCAGTGTGTCGAGGCGCCGCACACACACATACACTTTACGCAAGTCTCTACACGCAGATGAATATATCAAAGCTCGTTCGCACTCCAGCCTGCATCAAAGGTCACACACAGGGAGACTACTCCGGGGATCGTTGATACTCTCGGCTGCGGCGCTACTTATTAAAGCTCCGATTAGTCGAGCGGCGCGTCATAATAAACAAACGACGAATTTCATTACGCCTTCGTGTACTTCAATGTGCCTCGGTTAGAATCAGTCAAAAAAACTTTTCGCTCGCCAGCTCTCTTATCGATGCGTCATGGCACGCGTGAAGTCATATCGTCGTCGTATAGTATACCTTATAGGCGGTTCGTCATAATACACGCACGAATCGCGGATATACACGCGTATGTAATAATGTGCGCGCTCGAGCGAGCGAATAAAACGGAATGTACCTCGGCCGCGGCGCGAATATATCGTATATATACACATATTAAACTTCCGTGTGCGAGAGCCGAGCGTTGAAAAATCATTTCGCAATTCTAGCGCGCTCGAATCCGGGTGAATAAGTAGTTATAATACGTGTGTGTGTATCGTATCGACTATAAACGCACACACACACACTTGTGTTCATAGTACATATGTACCGGCAAAAAGATAGATGCCTCGGCGGTGGCAACTCGGGCTCTCTCGCACTATATACACATACCCCTGACCTTTGACGAGTATTATATGGCGTTGCATAATCCCCGCGAGGAGCGGATGTCGAAATAGCGCCGTCTTTTTTTCCTTCGCTTCGTTCGTTACTTCATTTTTTTTTTTTTTTTCATATTTGTTAGTCGGTCTCGCTCGACCATCCAATACTTATAATATATTATGTATAGTAGTACGGTGTAGGGTCTTTGTGTGCAAACAGCAAATTTATACCGGTTTCGTCGAAATATTTCTCTCTCTCTCTCTCTCTGTCTCGATTACACGCCCCGCAAAAATTAGTGCTCGTTTAATGCGGATTTTATTATAATGCATCGCGTCGCATTCGACGAGAGCTTCGACGATTTTTTTATGACGACCTCAGCGGGAGTGTACCTACTGATACATGTAATAACGGGAGAGAAAGAGAGACGTTTTATATCAGTGAAATTATCGTCTCGATCGTTCGCAAAACTTCGCACGTGCATAAGCGCTGTACGGAAACAACGTTGATCTAGCGTAGTAGGGGTTGGCCCTGCGAACGTAGTTAAAGCGGCAATAACGAAAATTTTACGAGGCAGAGAGAGCCCCTACCTCGCTCTGTTTACATCTCGAGCTGCGCTGCAGAATTAAACGTTTATATATGCGTCGAGCGCGCGCGTAATCAATCCTCTTGTTTCTTAATGCTGCACAATTGCGTCCGTCTCTCTCTCTCCTCCTCGCTGCTTTTGTTCTTCGCGAGCGCATATAATATAATCCTAATGTCGCGCGAGAATACTTACTCTCGCGTATATAAGAGTGAGATCGAGTGTCCGCGTCGGTTTATAACGTATGCGTGCTGCAGTGTGTACGCGATCGAGCTCGCGGAGTTCACCTTGAATGGATCCGCATTTATTAGCCTATTTATCGATTGAAAATGTTCAATAACTACTCGTGCACGCACGCACACGACTTTATCTTTGGTTAGAAAAAAACTTTATTATCTGCGCTATGCGTGTGTACAAATAATTTTCACGCGACTCCGGCATGATATTGTGTGCAAGAGAAAGAGAGAATGAGCTTATCGCATTGTTGAGTAATATATCGCGTTGTTATATATAAAAATATGCACATACTTTGTATGTGTCGTTTGTTGTCAATTAAAAACGAATCTTAATTTTCGATTATCTTGTTTTGCTTTCAGAAAGTTATGCACCACGCATCACAGCCAATCCGTCCAGTCTCATAGAGCGCACAAGAGAATCACTCACACACATATTGTTGTTTATTCTTTCATCGAAGAGAAATAAATAAACTCATGCCTGCGTACTACTGCCGGAGCGCCATTGCCGTCGTCTTGTGTAGCTGCAAAAGCTCCCGTTACAAAAGTGTCGATAATAAACAAAAAAACCAGTGAACTTGTATATTGTTATATAAATTATAATTATTGTTTAAAATAAAACGCGAGTGATCGAAAAAAAAATCATAGTCAAGATGCGAGTGTTACCGACCCGGCAAAATCGTCGCCTGCGACGCCTCTACCTGGACGCGCTCAACGGCGGCGTCGGCGACAGCAACAAGCGGCGGCACCGATCAGTAGTCTCCAGCACCGAGAACTTGCTGGCGACCATCATGCCGCTGAGGACCAATCCTCCTCCCGCACGGACGACGGCGTCCAGCGAGACGGCGACTTCGGAGCCACCGCCGTCGCCACCGCCGTCCCCGGCACCGGCGCCCCTGACACCGGCGCTACCCGACCCGGACGTCAAAGAGGACGACGATAATGCCTCGACGACCTCGTCGACGACGGATACGCTGATGAGCGGTCCCACGGGCTCGCAGGAGTTCCCGAACTTCGGTCAGAAAACGTGCCAGAGCGTCTGCGGCGGCAGCACGAGCGACTTGAGCGCGGAGAGCAACAAAGGGCCGAAAATGCTCGGCGAGCGTTACCTGCTGCTCGGCATGACCGAGGGTAGCAGCCTTTACAGATGCCTGGACATCAAGACCAACAGGAATTTAGTTGCCAAGGTGAGTGTCCCGCGCAATGCATTTAACACACACACACACACACACACACGCTTACACGTGGGTATTATATGGCAGCAGGAAATGTAAATTTCACACACACCCTACATACAGCAGCTAGGCCGGCGATTTTTATCGCCTTGCGAAATTCCAGCGCGCTGCCGCGTACGAACTTTATTTGCATGACTGTGCACGAGAGCTGCTGCCCTTTATCTGTACTCGTTTCTTACTCTCTTGCTCGGTGCTATATGCGCGACGAGAGAAGCAGCGCTCAGCCTATTATATCTTTGACGAAGCTGCAGCAGTTGCGAATCGATGCGCGGATTCCTCCGACTGCATCGCGTGTTGCGCGCTTCTTCTAATCGAGCCTCGACTCGGCATTTCAATACTTACGTCATACGTATTCCGAGTCTCGCTTTTTATCGCTGAAAAGTACGGCGAGCTTTAACATTATATATCGGCGCGCACTCGAACCGGTTCATTTCATACTTCAGCCGTGTCGGCGGCTGGATGGCGAGAGCAAAGGAAAAGAGCAAAAATGATGTATCTCGCGCGGCAGAGTATTACTCAGGGATACTTTTAATATCATCATACGTATATATATATCAATGACGAATCGCCCGATCGATTATCTTGTTCAACGAACTTGTGTGCGTGCGTGCAGTTTGGCAAAAAAAAAGAGGCATAGATGTGTACGCAATGTGCGTATACGGGCCGGCAGCTCGCGATGAATCAGCCCCGAACGTTTGGCGCCAGACGCTCGCTATACTACTCGCCTCGTCGCGCGCGGCTCTAAGATATAAATATATCGCTTTCTAAGTACATTATATACATACACTGGCGCGCATTATATACGAAAGGGGATGATGCCCCGTCGACGACTAACGCCGCGTTGTCATATACGCGTAAACACGCGTGCTATGCGTCATTCGCGGCCGTCGACGCCGCCGCCGCGAGGCCGAGTGAATTTTTCGTGGCTCCGATGTGGGATTCATTTTTGCAACTCGACTTATACTGCGCGCGCGATACGACGGCCGACTATAAAAACTCGTTTATTAATGTAAAAGAGAGGGAGACTCGAACGAAAGAGTGCAAGTTCAAAAGTCCGCGAACTTAATTTCGACGCCGCCGCCGCCGCTGCGTGAACGTTCTTGCATCATAAGTATAACCGAGAGGGCCGGCTTGTGCAGCTGCCTCTCGAGCACGTTTTATCGCACACACATACACACACACGTATCCGTGTTAGTCTCTGCGCCTCGCTTGCGAAATGTTTGCTCGGCCCTGAGTGGTGGTGCTGTGCTGTGTGCTGCGCGCGAGCCGCAAAGGTGTACAATATTGCTATATAAACGCGCGCAACAGAGTGAGAGAGTGAGAGAGAGAGAGAGAGAGAAGCGAAAAAGAGCATAGCAACGCACACAACGCACGCGTCTTCTTCCTCGTCGGATTTTAATTATAGATTAGAATCTTTCTAGCTTGTTGTCGCGTCGTACTCAGATGTGGCTGCTGTCGATGCTTGTATTCTTCTTTGTGCGCTGCGAGCGCGCGGAAATGAAAATTGATATTTTTTTTTTTTCGAAGATTCAGGTGTTCGCTAGCGAACTGCGAGAGAATTGGGATTCTTTGTTCTTTTTTATTTCGCGTATAATGTATAAAAATCGACGTGACACGGCTGTGACGTTCACGTCTCTCGTCGTTGCTCTCGTCGAATTTCAGAAGCGACAAAAAAATATTACACACACACACACACACTCGCTTTAGAGAAGTTTTGCCATACGTCGTTAAAATTAATGGAGCATTATTTCTTTCTCTCTCTCTCCCTGCGGAGTAATTGCATTAGCGCGACGAATGATGAAAGTCAATACGCTGCACTTACACACAAAGACGGGGCGTAATTGGAGAACAGGTTTTATTTCCTTCAAATTCTTCCTTATCGTACGGTCGCTCTCTGCCTCTCCTTGGCGCGTTGAAACAACGAACGAACAAAACAAAAAAAAGCGACCGAAAAGAAGAGAAATAAAAGTCACGTGACTCGCGGAAAAACGTCGCGAATCAAGGTCATATTGATGTGTCAGGCGAATTTTCGGTTAGCATCAATTGACTAACTCCGTTGGAGCGAGCGAGAGAGAGAGAGAACGATTGTGCATTTATATAGCGGTGCCGGCGGAAGTTGAGCCAGTGCGATAAAGAGGAAAAAGGGGACCGACAAAATGCGCGCGTGCACATACACTCGTATGCGAGCGCCTCTCTCTCTCTCGTACTGTGCTCGCTCGCTTCTTTATAATTCCGTTTCCGCTTTGTATAAACGAATGAATTGTATAATGGTTCATTGAGTTTCCTCCGCGCGTACTACACACACGCGTACGAAAGAGAAGAAGGAAAAAAATGCCAAGAAAAACAGGTTAATTGGAGATCCGTGGATTAAGAGACGAGTCAGCGTCGGTGCGTGCGAGTGCGTGCGTATCGCAACACGCGCAAAATATAGAAAATACAACGGCCAAAGACGGGAAAATTTCAATGCGATCTGAAAATAAACGATGACCAAAGCGCAGACACTTCGCAATGTGCATATTATAAGCTGCTGCCTGCTGCCCCTCGGCATGCGCAAATAACGCAAACGCGCGATCGAACGCGCGCGCGGCAATCGCAATCTATCTGGCTCTCGCTTTCGTAAATAATAACTATACTGTACGCTATATATACATACGCGCTTTCAGCCATATAATATGTAGGAAGTATCGTTTCGTTGTTGTTTTTTTTTTTGCTCCCTCTCTCTTTCTCGGTCAGATAATGAATACGAATTTTTCACTCATTGAAAAGAGTGCCAACGCAAATGAGAAGATTGATTGTCGCACGCGCGCGCTAATGATTAAAGATAGAGAAGCCAAAAGCTAATGAATCTTCGATATAATATATACCACACACAAGCACACACAGAGCCAGAGACGGAGCGCAAACATTCGCACAGACGGACACATTGTAACGTACGCAAATCGAGTTCTTTCAACTCGCTACCGGATGAAAGTAGCTCGCAGCAATATACACGAGTCTAGAGTTTACACGCACTCGGCAAAACGCGGAAATCCACTTCTCGTAATAATATTTAGGCGTAGCGGCTACCGTATCTATACTCGAAATTGAAGCTCGTCTAGAAAAAAAATAATAATAATAACAACAACAACAACGCGGAAGTACGCGGTGGTTTGGGGTGACGCAACTCGATGCGAGGTCTCTCCACGGTGGATCGCTCATTTTTTGTTGTTGTTGTTTAGCTGCACTCTCGTTGTGCTGTCTTTAGGCAATTTTTTTTCGGTTGCTCCCCTTATACATAGATCGGAGTAACTTCTTAACGAGCAATGCGCGCGAAATTGCGTAGTTGCAGCTCGTACGCGCGCGCCGCCTCGTCCTCTATTTTTGACAACGAGCCGCACGCACACAAACGCAGCGGCAGGCAGCGGATTTCGAGGTATTCGCGCGTTTTCGGGCTATTAAAAGATATGAACCCGAGAGAACGAGCATGAGTGAGACTACTATGCTGCTACTACGGGCGGCCGGCGTTTCTCACGCTATAAAAGATCGGGCGCGATGATCATGATGATGACGACGATGACGCGCATTGCATGTGTGCTGCTGCTGCTGCGTATTTAAGAGTTGAAGGGAATTCGCGCGAGTGGAATTTTAAAAGATGCGCCGCCTTGACTGACGTTCGTATATATAGACACGATGGGAGGCTCTTTGTTTCGCGCGCGCGTCGGGGCTTATCGACGCGCTGACACCACTACGCGTACCGTAATAAGTATACGGGGCATCATCTCTCCCCCTCGTCTCATGGAAATATCTGTGGTATTAGGTCACGGAGATAAGGAACGTAGAAATGATCTTCGATCATGGGGTTACCCCGCTGCAGCCCACTTAAAAAAAAAAAAGAGAAGAAAGAAAGAAGCGATTTAACCGATTCGGCCAGGGGGGTAGGAATCACCCTCCATCGAACACACGCACGTGCGTACGATATTAACGTATTACACAACTGCCAAGGCATGATGTGAGTCATTAGGGTTCGTATGGCAGCGAGTCCTTATTTTTCTCGCTCGTTCGGCTCGTATGACTCATATCCTACCAAGTCCTATTGCAACGCACCGCAACGAAGGCTATACGTTAGACCACTGCCGAACGGACGAGTTTACAGTAGAAAAGTACATCTTTTTTCGTTGGATTACGTTGATAGCGAATCATGTGATTGAGCCTACGTTTGATCCCGCGAAAAAGAGAGAGAGAGAGTGTAAGTTTTTTCTCGATCCTCGGTAACACACTTTCCCGAGCGTTCAACAACCACTTACATACATAAGAGCCAGCCCCGCGAGACTCGAAATGCACTTTCTAATTCCTTCGCGACGACGGGGAAAGTTTATCGCACTCTGATTTCGCCTTCTCTCGCGCGCGCGCGCCTATACATTCGCGTTGCATTTGCTTCTCTGAAATTTCGAAAGCCGGAAATGCAATTCAATATTTTTATATGTTATATGTATATCGGTCTATGAGTGCACGCAGCAGCAAAGAGTGGGAGAATCAACGTATCCATTGCGACTCTATCGCGCGCGTCTTTGATGTGTCCTTGAAAATGTGTATATATACGCGCACAGCACACACATGCTTTTTATATTAACTTATAAAACGTGCACATGTACACGCGTATATATAAGTATGTATATCGCAGCGTGCGGAGCTTCGATGAAATTCAATACACGACGCACACGTACCATATATTATGTATCCACGTGACTCGGTAGACGCGGTTCCTTTTGCTTCGTATAATAAACGCGCGTGCGATATAACGTCGATGTACGGCTGATAACTGATTATCGAGGCGCTGGCCGATTAACGATTTTTAGCTTTTTCTTTCCTTTTTTTCGACCGCAGCCCTCGCGGTCAAAAAATTCAATCAATTTTTGCAAAATCGCGTTGCGCTCCCCACGCGGTTTCGTAAAAAAACTCGTACGTATACGAAAAAAAGAAAAGTCAAGCGCGATGCCGTAATTATTTAACGATATACGCGTAAACGCGCGATACGTTTCGTATATGTACAGAGAAAATGTCAAGCTTGCGTAAAAGGTATCGCATAAGAGTTTCGTCAAATTTATCGCGTCAAAGTCGTTATTGTAGCTCGTTATTTCCGCGATTGCTTGCTGCTGCTGCTGCTGCTGCTGTGTGGACAGACGGGGACGGCAGCAGCAGCAGAAGCAAAAAAAAACGGAAAGACAGCGCGAGACGAAAACTATCGCGAAATAATGATAATTAATATCTCAACAAGTATACCCAAGGTTTTATTGCCCTGAAAATTTATATTCCCTCGCGTCGGAGACACTGCACACGCTCCGTGTATAATACGTCTCTCGTGTGCTGCTGCTGCTGCTGCAAGCCAATCGATACATATCGACGAGAAGGAATCGTGATTTTGCAAGTGTGTGTGTGTGTGCTGCAGCACCGCCCTGCGCGCGCGTTGCCTTTTATTAAATTAGAGTAAAAGACAGAGAGCACGAGTGCAGCATGCAGTTTATATATACACACACAGACACAGCGCGAGATAGCCTCGTGTCGCGTTACGAAATTTTCGCTGTTCCCGCAGCAGCAGCACGCGTGTTTCGACAGACAGTGCAGACTCGCACACAGCGCGAATTTCAAAATTAATCTCCCGCGCATACATGCAATACATACACGCGGCTCTCGGAGCTGAGGCCGAACGAGATAGCCAGCTTATTTGATTTTTCTCTTTTCTCTGTTTTGCAGCTGCTGACGAAGGGCGACAAAGGCGCGGACTCGCTGCTGCAGGCGCACACGAGGCTGCAGGACAGCGGCGCGGTGTCGCCCCTGGCGGGCCTCGTCGACGGCGACGATCACCAGCGCTACCTGCTGCTCGAGGGCCACTACGGCGATCTGCACGCCTACGTGCGCTCGCGGAGACGGCTGCGCGAGGTCGAGGCCAGGCAGCTGTTCCAGCAGGCCACCGAGGCCGTGATGAGGTGCCACGAGGAGGGCGTCGTGCTCAGGGACCTCAAGCTCCGGAAATTCGTCTTTGCCGACGAAGCGAGGTGCGTGTCTTTTATATATACCTACTACTATACTACTTACAGCCACCAAAATATTTACGTTCGTTCGTTGCCCTCGTCCGGGCCGCCGCGCTTTCCCGGAAGAAGACGATAATGCTTCCCCCGAAGAGCCCCGCTTCCGTGCTACGCGCGCACTTGCCGCTGCCTCGAGCTAATTTCGTTGCTGCGCCGATGTGTGTACGCGCGGGGCTCTTCTCGGAATCCGAGCGCGTCGTATCGGAGCGCGGGGGCCCTATTGTAAAAAAAAAACCTCCAAATGTCGATAAAATCGTCGGAATTTGTAAGCCTCTGTGTGATTTCCAAACGATGTCGCGCGTTTCGCAATTATATATTATATACACCGTACGAACTCACAAAAGTATGCTGTATGACCCGAGCAGGCACAGGCAGGCAGGCGCGCGCGCAAAAGATTAGTCAATAATCAAAACACACTAGAGACACACACAAAAGCTGCAATACATATTACATGCATACTGTATAACGATATATATATGAAAATAACACGGCGCATTCTCTTTTACGATAGTACACTTGCGAAAACTTGCGCAAATAAATTAACGAAAGAATGAAGGAGAATAGATCTTATAGGGCTTTGTCTTGGCTTGCATAGGCATTATTATATACACACTCACACATCTACTACTTGTCTATATATCTATCTATATATATATATATATGTATGTAGACTGGTGTGCGCCGTGCGCGCACACACAGGTGAACTTTGCTCGCAGACAACGAGAGCCGCGCGAGAGGGAGAGAGAGAGACACGTGTTTGTCGTGCCGAGTTGATTGGTGCAATATATATCGAATGAGAGAATTTTCTTGTGTCACATTCGTGCATTCCTGACGCAGCCACCGCCGCCGCCGCCGCCGATCTAATGCCCGCGATAAAAGCGCGAGAGAGAGAGCAGAGTCTGTGCAGAGAGATATACATGGAGAAAAATTGCAGAAAAATATTTGAAAATTCAGAGGCGGGCGTGCGCGCGCAAGAGAGTTTTAGTGAGCTCTCCTTGTGCCACGGGGTATTGGTTCATCTGGACGTTTTCGAAATGGTAAACGCTCGTGTGTAAGATTGTGTGTGTGTATAATTAGGAAACGGCTGCTGCAGCAATGACTGCAGCAAAAGAGAGACGCCTTTCGCCATACGTATTATGTATGTTTATACATTAAGGCAATTTCGCCTCACTGGCACCGGTGTGTGTGTAGTACGTATGCATGTATTTATATGTATAAACACATACAGACACAGACACATAACACATGCACACATACATATAGATGAAAGGTTTGGGAAATCGAGCGTCAACATTTTGAAATGTTGTCTGCTTTTACGTGTACGTATATTTCGCGCTTATTACATATTTCTAATTGGGAAATCGCATCGTCGCAAGCCTGTACTGGCTTTGAATTATTTCCTCGTGTGTCTTAAGCTCCGTACGAGATGTCACACATTGTGTTGTGTATAGAGCCCTTCGAGTGAAAATTTTCGAAACGCGGCGCAACCGCAATGTACACAGATGTCTGGGGGGGCACTCGACGAGAGAAGTAAAAAAAAAAAAGGAAAAATAGTATACGGATTTTATAAACCGTTTGCTTTTGCATTTCGTCATTGTTCTTTAAAGCACATCTGTTTTTTAACAGTAGTATATACATAAGGCAGGCAGTACAGTATCCTCGTGTGTATGTTTCCAAAAACACGCCTTTCGAAATACGCGTATACGCCAAAAGTTCTTTGAACCCTCTTTTTCCATCTCTCGGGCCGGCTCGCTGCTGCTCTGCGCGAGTTAACGGCGCTCTGGTGCGCGCGCGCGAATGTGTACATTACACGGCCAGAGGCACACATTCCGCAGTGAAAGTTTTGCCAGAATGAAGAAAGTATGTTATATATCCTTATAAATTCGCAATATTCGGAACGCTGGCTGGCTGGCTGGCTGGCTCGCGGGGGCATTGACACTCGTCTGTGTCTGTCCGTCCGCTCGCGAATTGTTGATGCTTCCTTTCTCTTTCCCTAAGCTTTTTTTCGTCGTAACAATATTGAAAAAAAAAAAACCGCTACTATCTCGTTTTATCGGCCACGGTATAATAAGTAGAGACGCTTTAAGCGCCTGCGCCAAGTTGTTTTAAAAATATTTTTTTCGATAAAACTTGAGAATACTCGTATGTTTACTTATATATATATCATCATCGAGCGTCCGCCCGGTGTCTATTTTTCTCGGCGCTGGCACGCGACAGCTGTTATAGCACTAAATACACGCACACACACACACATGCACTCTCCCTATATCCCATCCACTGCCTATACTATATGATTTTCCCCCTTGTCCTCGTGCAAGGATACGAGGGAGTCGTCGGCACGCACATAGCACGAGCGCGACGTTTTTCATCGATGACCCTACATTATATAGACGAGTAGTTTCCTATGAGTCACGCATTTTCCTATATAGATTTCGCGTACGGCAGACGATTATAACGCACACACACACACAAACACTAAGTGGAGAGAGAAAGAAAGAGAACGAAATTGATGTAATTATTACGATATACATCGATGAGCATTAGTCAGGGCCAAGTGTCACTTTTTTGCCTTTTTTTTTTTTATTTCGTTCATTCGCTCGCGCGCGTTATCCTTCGAGCGCCGCGGCGGAGCGAGTCTTTCGTCTGTGCAGGTATTATATTCGAGCCCTTGAAATATCCCAGTGATGGCCTCACCTCTTTCTACACTTCTCTCCTTTATTTTTTCTCAATATTCTCGGCTTGCACAATGTAATTTACTGTCCTTGTAATACTTTCAGCAACGCCGCGCGCTGCGGGTGTAGCATAGGTCTATATATATATATATGTATGCGTACGCGTACTTCGCACGAATGTGTATTCCATTGTCTGCTCTTGCATATTGTGTACGTGTTGGTGTATCCGTATGATTGCATCCGGAAGCAGATGAAACGTGATTTCTTACAAAATATAAATATCCCAATGTCGCGTGTACAAATGTCGGAACACGTCCGTGACTAATCGTCTTTTTTTTGCCATTGCAGAACCCAGTTGCGGCTCGAGTCCTTGGAGGACGCCGTGCTCGTCGACGTGGACGACGACCGTCTGACGGATCGCCGGGGCTGTCCGGCCTACGTCGCGCCCGAGGTGCTGCGCTCGGGCCAGGCCTACTCGGGCAAGGCCGCCGACATCTGGTCGCTGGGCGTGCTGCTCTACACGATGCTCGCCGGCAAGTATCCGTTCAACGACACCGAGCACGCCTCGCTCTTCTACAAGATCACCCGGGGCCAGTTCGCCGTGCCGGAGCTGCTGGGCTCGCGGGCCAAGTGCCTGATCAGGTCGCTGCTGCGCAAGGAGCCCGCCGAGAGGCCCGAGGCCGAGGACGTGCTGCGCCATCCGTGGCTCAGCAGGCCCCTGAAGAAGTACTGCATCAACTGCACGAGCCTGGCCGTCATGGGCGGCGGCGGCGGCAACGCGTTCGACGGACACAAGAATCACAAGACCAATATGGTGGATCAGATAGTGCCTGATTTCGCTCTCAACGAAGACTGAACAAAAAAAAACAAAAAAAAAAAATTACGTTGTTGTTGTTTCCTACAGCTCTTACTGCTGCTTTATATATATAATATACCGTTTCTGCTACCGAAGCTTCCTTTTCGTTGTATCATAATGAAAGATGAAAAAAAAAATCGAATGCACCCACGCATAAACTATTCTTATTTAAGTAGGCTTTTACTCGAGCGCATCAATTGATAATTCATTATGTATGCATGTATGAATGTATGTATGTATGTAAGCAAGTATGTATGTAATACGCGCATCTGTCGGTCTGTAAAAAGCGTGATTGCGTATAGTGATTTCAAATTATAAAATCATTTATGATTTTTAATTGTAGTTCAGGTTTATTTTTCGTTTTCTGCCAAGTCGCGGTACGACGTTGAACGCGAAAGAGCGGAAAAATGCGCATTTGGTGTAAAAAATATGTGTAATTACATACTGGTAATTTTTGTGATTTATCGTCGTTTCGATATGTGCCATTGCGTATTTTACCGCGTGATTTAATTTTTAAAATCAAATTGTGAACGCAATGTATTTTTTTTTCTTTTCGTTCATTTATAGGCTTAAGCTCTCGGATATATAATAGTGATATGGCTAAGCGACGTTATATAGAATATTGACATAGATTCAGCTGTTAATTCATTTCATAATATTTTCCATTTAAGTTATTGCTAGTTAGGTACTTTTGGTTTTTTCTAATGAACGTCAATTTTCGTTCCATAAAGATTAGGAAATTAATTGAAAATTCAAAATGCATTTAGGAAGAATTTTTAAATAAGTGGCTTAACTCAGATAAAATTTCAAATTTCATCCATACTCTTGGTAAAGAGACCAATACCGCACCATTAATAAAGTTTTGTACAACCTACGAATAGTTAATGAGCTGTACATAACAAGTTTATTTTTGTTGATAAATTAAAAAAAAAAAAAGTAATTTGATGGATAACAATAACGAGCTCTGTATCAAACTGTATAATACTTTTGTCAATTTCAAATCGATCTGTGAAACTTTTATCAACTACTTCAGAGTCATTGTAAACAAATATCGGAACATTTTCTACGCTAAGCGTACTTAAAAAAACCTATTGTAAAAATACATTTATTAATGTACCAACTTTGTAAATATTGCATATTAAACAAACAAATGATCAGTCATACATTCATGTGTTATACTCACTGAACCAATATTTTTTTTCCAATCATTTCATGTAGCCTATTCAATTTTCGAACTTGGCAAACTCAAGTTTATTTCCACTGATCTGGGACTTCATATACCAGAATAATCTCACATGGTAACGGCGTTCTCTGTTTTATCTTGCGATCACGATGTTACTTTGAAAGTGTCAATTACGTCAGTCGCATCGGAGCAGCCGACAACTTACACACGTGCTACTCGTTCTAGGCATTAGCAAATAAAAATAATTCATCATGAAAGTCAAACGCCTTAAAAAAGCATCAAAACATCTTAATTTTTATGTTAATAATTACAAATTTTTTGCACCGTATCAAATCTTAATAGATGGCACATTCACCCAGGCTGCACTCCAAGTACGTTTAAAACTCTTACTAACCTTATAAATGCATAAGATTTGTTTGTATTTATAAGATTTAACTCATTTTTAAACATTTTCAGAATAAATTTAACATTGAACAACAAATGCCTAAATATTTTCAATCAGAAATCAAGCTTTTGACAACTCAATGTGTTATTGTGGAAACTGAAAAGTTAGGGCCTAAACTGTATGGAGCTTCACTCATAGTTAAAAAATTCGCTGTACATATTTGTGGCCATGGTAAAAAGACAGTTTCTGGTTCTGAATGCTTGCGATCAATGGTTGGTGCTAAAAATGAATCAAGGTATAAATATTACCACATTATTGTTTTAATTTTAATAAATTTTGTTCAATAACTAAATGATTTTCTTTATCATAGGTACATCGTTGCAACACAAGATAGATTGTTGCAGGATCAACTAAGAAATGTTCCAGGCTGCCCTGTTATGTATTTACATGGAGTTACACCAACGCTTGAAGCACCTTCCCCAAAAGATAAGGAGCATTTAAAACATCTTTTAGATAAAATAATTATGAGTGAAGATCAAGAAAAAACTCTTCAAATGTTGAAGAAAAATGCCGGAATAGTTGAAGAAGAAGTGATTAAGAAAAAGAAAAAAATAAAGGGACCGAATCCCTTGAGTGTTAAGAAGAAATCGAATAAAAGTGATAAGGCAAACACAGGTGTACAGGCTACAAATAATGATAGAGTTGATAAATCTGGTAAAGTGAAAAAAAGAAAAAGAGTAAAGTTACCTGCACATGTTAAAGAAGCATTAAAAAGTAGTTGATTATTATAAAGTTTTCATTTTATATGCAATTATCATTTGTTTTTTAGTATTTATAAAATTACAACACAGCATTTAGAATGTACGAAAATTTATTTTATAATACACTTTTTACTTAATAAGAATAAAGTATTTATTCAACTTTTTTCATAGAATAGTTCTAAAATGTTAATTATCTAACATTCATCATCTTATACAGGGTAGCAGCTAAGTAAGAAGTATTGGATAGCTAATCATGAGAAAAATGAACTTAACATAGTACAAAAACTCAAAACTACTTAATAAAAATTTTAATGGCTACTTTTAAAATATTTTGTGTTTGGTAAAATGATTAAAATTAAGTATTGTTATTAGGAGATATATTATTGTACATTTTTCATCAAATATTGGGTTTCTGTAAAAAAATAATTGACAGCAAAAAGTGAACATTAACAATTGTTCATTGGAAGAATTTCAATTTAAACTCAATTCACAAAACAATAAACACAATACAATTAGGTATAATGATAATGTACTTTGAATAAAATGTATCTCCAGTCTTTTCAATGATAATCATGCACAAAAATTATGTGCATTAAAAAGTAATCACAAAAATTAAAGTCTAATTTTCTTTGTATCAATTCTACAAAGTTTATGATGCTTTCAATAGAGATTGAGCAGCCATTGCAACCATTTTCAATCGTCTCACAGATCGGTTACCTGGATTCGCAGCAATAAATAACTGAATTTGATTTTGTAATGATAACAATACACTGGTCATGTGTTCGCGAGTGATGGGATCTGATGGATCCAGGCTTATGACTGCTTCCTCTAACCACCTGAAATAGCATTCACATAATGCGTTACTTTTGATAGTAAAATTATCTAGCAGAAAAAGTATTCATGAAAGTTTCCATTACCTGTGCTTCAGTTCAGTTCTGTGTCCAAGATTAGCAGCTAACTGCTGTACAAGAGATAAAAGTACAGGTTGTTGTAACATGCAACGAGTAGTTTGTCCAGAACCTACTGCTACCGAAAATACTCTTGCAGGATCAGTACTTTCACAAACTAATACAACAAGACCAAGATCGCTAGCACTAAGAGCTTGTTGGAAAGCTGAGTTAATCTGTCCTCGTTGCAAAAGTGACATAACACGAGCTTGATTATCTACCGGTGAAGGAGTAGGTAATCCTGGAGTTGTAGCTCTGGAGCTGTTTTAACAATTCAAAATAATGAAATATTGACTTTAAAAAGTATCACTTGATTACTGTTACCGCAGTATTACCTTATGCCAGATAAATTTGACATATGCTGAGTAAAGTTTTCTTTCACGCTATCGCGTACGCTTCTCGCAGTATTTTCTTGCATAGCAGACAAGCCCCTAGAAAATTCGTTTTGCATTTGCTCTCGAATTGTAGTGGCAAGGAGGTCACTTTGAAGTTTATTATGTCGTTGATATTGACTGTCAATATGTGTATCCACATTTTGAATATCTGTACAAATTAAATGATCTTATTAGTCATAATTAATTCAAACCTAGTTTAATTCAACTTAGTATAATATACTTACATTCTTTTGTACCCTGTACAAATGTATCTTGCACTTGTTTAAACATAGTTTGACAAGCTTTCTCAAAAGCTGGCAATAACATTCCTTCAAAAGTTTCTCGGAAAGCATTTTCTAGTGCTGGCTTGGCAGCATTTGTAGCAGTCTTTGAAAGAGCTTCACGCATCTGTGGTCCATTCATTGCTTTGTTAAGATTATCCTTAACAATACTTTCAATTTGATTAGCATCTACTCTCAATTGACGTTTTAAAGGTTCAACTACATTATGTATAGATGCTGGTATAGCAGTTTCAATACTTTTTTTGACAATATCTTCAATATGTTTTTGAAAATCTCGTTGTCTTGAAGTATTCTGATTCAAAAGACTTGCTATGATACTATTAGTTTGCTGCTCAAGCGCTTTGGCCAAAATAGACTCTACTCGCTTAGCCAATGAAACCTCTTGACGAAGTCGAGCCTGTTGATTAATAATAATGTTAAATTCAAAACTATTTCAAACTGAATATTGGTATTATTAAATTTTAATGATTACACACTTCATGACGTAATTCACTTATTTCTTGTTGTTGGTCTTGAATAAGTTCAAGCATAGTATCTAACTTCTTGGTAATAGCATGCATGTCATTTGATAAGTCCTTCCATTTCGTGTCAATAACTTCTTTTTGCACCACAGATGGTGAGAGATCTTTTTTAATAGAAATTTGACCGTCAGCTATGTCTTGTTGTTCTTGTTCGTGCATTGCGTGGAATGCATCTTTAAAGAAAAGCAGGTTAATTGTAATTTATTTTTTATATTCCAAAAAATAATATTTCAAAAAGTTACCAAATAAATTATAAACTTACTAGTCAATTTACACATCGGAACTTGAGCCCAATTTTCATTTATTGTATTTGCCATAGGTTCTGTTTTAACTTCAGGTTCACTTTCTTCAGGTTCGGATAATGATAATATTTCTCGTACTTCTCTTGAAGGACTACTTCCTCCACTAGGGAATACTTCTTCTAATTTACTTGTGGCTAATGGTTGATCAGCTGCATTGAGAGCTTGAACTGTTTGTGCAATAGACGGGCTAGCTGACTCAATATTTCCAAGCTGAGGACTAGAGGATTTTGAGTCTAAAACAGTATCTTTTTTAGCTGGAGAACTAAAAGCTTCTGGTGTCATGAGATTAAGACCAGCATTTTGATCTTCATTCAGTTCAAGTTCTTCATCCATTTTATTATCATCTCCATTTTCCACTAAAAATGTCATTAAAAGATTAGTTGATGAAATTAAAGTATATGACACTCATATAGATCGTTTTACTTACTTTCTTCATCGCTTGTGTTTACTTTATCTATAATCACACCTAAAGACATTTCATTGACACTTTCATCATCAATATCATCATTCATTTTCGCTATTTCAGGAATATTCTCTGTGTAGTCTAAAGAGTCGTGTGTTAAGGTGTCCATAAGACAAGTTCCACTTATGGGAGATTTAAATGCTATGTGACACTCTTGAAGAGATTTTGGTTGCACTAAGTACATTCTTATGACAAGCTGATCTTCATTTTCATCTTCACCAGGACATAAATCTTCTAATGAACCAGTAGGTCGAACATGTCTTTGTGCAGCATCAACTATAGCAAAACTGAGAATAGGATAAGGCAAGAGAAATTCCGATACAGTGTTGATGCATGCCACTGCTTCCTTACTATCCTTAGAAATGCTAAAAATGTACAGCACTTTGTTAAAGACATCTGACAAGAGTAAATAACCACCAGCAAGATCTAAACTGGCTTTTAAAACAGGTGATTTTGAAGACATTGGAGATGGGGCAATCGTGATAGTTTGCAAACACTGCCATAGCTCACATGACCAAATTTTTATTTCAGAGTTAAAATTACAGCCTGTGACAGCAAATCGCCAAAATTGGGCACTGAAAGCCAAAATTCATCATAAATAATTGTTGATAAATTGATATTTAGACAAAGTTATTCAACTTACTCAGGATTATAATTTTTATGATCATCTAGGAAGAACAAAGATGATATAGGACGTCCTTCATGGGGTGTCCACTGATGTAAACATTTGGGAGGCTGCTGGGGAGAGGAACCAAGCATATGAACTTGGAAAAATTTGACGTCACCATCATAACTGGCTGTAGCAAGCGCAGTGCCATCAGGACTGAATGTTGCTTCAACAATTAACCCATTATGGGCATTAATTTCTACCATGACATTATTTTTATGAATTTCTGGATCGTTTGCCTAAAAATTAATTCAATTAAGGTTTCTGCATGGTTTTCATTGAATAAAATTTAATATTTACTTTGATTGGATCAGGGAAACAGTTAGAGGCTGTAGCCACGGACCAAAGTTCAGCTACAGAGCCACGCGTAAGAACTAATAGTTTTGATACTTCTTCTCCATCAGTTGCGTCTTCTTCAGGAATATAAGGACACCAAATAACTCTATGGCATGTCGAGTAAGAATCATCTGCATCAACTTGTAATATTCTGTTACATATAAGCTCTCCACTTTTAGTAGCTTCAATAGAATACACAAAAAGACTTCCTGTGCTATCTACGTAAGCCAAGATTGGATTTTGAACATGAGCAAATGAGAGATCTTGGATAAGCCCATGCATACCCCTAATAAGTGTTCTTTGTTCGGTATCTTTATTGACAACTCTAACGACTCCATTGCCATTTGAAGCTTCATAAAAGGCATTTATTTATGCATTAAATTTTATTCTTAAAATTCATTAGCAAGTAAAGAATGACGAATGGTTGACTTACCTTTAATGCCATATGCCAAATATTTGCCTGACACATGAACTGCCAATAACTGACCTGCATGATACTTGTGCTCCCATGTAAAATCTACGATATTTTTTAATTTCACCTTGGAACTACCATGATTATGATCTCCAGGCGAAGGTATAATTTTCACATCAGCCTGAGAAATTTCAACTGTTTGTTGTTCCGAGCTTCCAGAAAATTTCCTAAAGAAATTAATTAACAGATTAAGTCAATAATGCCATTATAGGGGAATATCATAATCAATTAGTTTTAAACGTGTATAGTATTATGATGGAGCAATTGTAAACAAAACACGTAAACGCAAAGTATGATCATATTCTCTTGAACTTAATAACATCTTTGTTCAAGCAAAAATACGAAATAAAGGCGACGCGTAGTAGGAGAAAAAAAAGACCAACTCACACTACTTGCTGGAACGCTGTCCCGCTGTTTTCGGTGGTTTTATGCATTTTTACGTCCTGACGATGTGGCTGCTGATCACCTGGAACAACGATATTCTCATGAGCACACGAGCGGGAAGTTACGACCCTTTCGACGAGCGACGAGAATTTCACGATCATTTGCAATCCCAAAAACATAACCTGCCCGTGGTCGCCCGATTTTGGGATTGCCAATTGGCCCGCTGCGATGCAAATTCACAAACATCTCCACACTTACCATATACAAAAATAGTTCAGTCAAGATCCAAAATTTGTAGGCTGCTCCCACGCGAACTTGACTTGGCGTTCACTTTTACGAATTCTCTCTCGATACAGGGCGAGCTCTGGAATTTTGACTGCTGCGAGCTGTGATTACTTATCGATACGCATTGTCCCAATACAGGATCGACTCTTTGGCCGAACTCGAGTCTCAACTGATGAGTGTTGCGAATTGCCGACGATGCGCAGTGACTACTGTGGCTGCTCGTTTGGCACAAATAAAAATAGACAACAGTCACGCCAGGAGTTATGGCGCGACAATTGTTATTGTATTCGATTCTAGCGAGCGAAGAGCAAATCGAGGCTCGCGTATGCGATTTTGCAATTATTTTATTGGCGAAAGGAAAAATTGTGCGCTCCGCAGCGTTTGATCATGCAGAATTTCTGCAGCCTAGGTTAAGGTGCACACAACGCCGGGAGGGTGGCATTACAGGATCTTTCCGCAATTTCTCCTTTCGCCTATTCGTATCGCGTGGACTGCGTGTACACTACATACGTGCGCGTTATCTGCACTTGTCACGCTTTGAGTCACAGATTCGCGAAATGTACGATTCAGTTTACCTACATCTGAAAATTCATCTCCGTCTCCGTTTCGTGATAAGGCGAGCGCATCCGTGGCCAAGGGTAATGATGGAAAGATGTGATCCAAGCTAAATCTAAAATGCATTTTGAAAAATCAAATTTTCAATTTATCGATTTGAAAAATATCTGAAATCCATAAATAAGTGTAACTTTTCACAGAAGACAAATTTTTTGACGCTTAAAATTAATAGAGTGTAATGAATAAATGATTGACTACGACAGGTGTATGAAGTATAACGGACAAAATAGTGTCCGACAACTTTACGAAATGCAAAAAATTAGCATTTCCGTTAAAAAACTAAAAAACGTACCATTGAATAGGATTGGTAGCTTAGTATCGGTGCTCGAGCATAATGAGCAAACAATTGAAATAAAAAAAATCTCTTTGAAACAGGTATCTGAGGCTTGAGAGTAATTCGTTATTATGATTTTTCATGAAAAAATAATTATTTTAATCTTGGATGTTAGTTTTTAATTTGCGAAGTACTGGCTGAATAGTAACGGTTTTCTCTATAAAACCTAATTACTTGCACTGGCCAACAATTTTTTGTTAGTTTATGAACGTTGCAAAAATGGCTCTTTCGTCGGTCATCCTTCCTTATAACGTCAACGTTTAATATAGTTGATGTTTTGAAAATAAATAATGGTCAAGGAACAAGTAAATACTCGACTCAATTAACTTAATATAGTAGAATTAAGTTTAGGAAAAACTAGTTTCAGAAAAATTAAAAAAAAATTACGTGGCTCCCGGGGTCTTGCAAACCCAGCTCCTTCATTTTTGGAGTTTGTTGTTTGCCGCAGTTCGCTTTCTACGCGAATGCAGTGTACAGCAACGCCGCAATGAGCGCTACATTCCTTACAGATGTACAAATTCACGTACAGTTATAGATTTTACCAATATTTTTTAGCCATTTTACCATGATATTGATGTAAAAATCATATTACTATTATTATTTTATGAGAGAGGTACCGTTTTTAGAGTGAGCAGTTCATAAGCGCTGTGATTGGTCGTTCAGGAATTGCATATTTAAAAAAACTTTCATCTCTCTGGATTTCTACCAAAACATTCCCAACGGAAGAATATACAAATAAAACACATGTAGACATCCCTGTCAAGTACATTTGTACTTGATGATAATGTCTCACGAAGCTCATTATTATCATTTATGAAATGTAAATATCGTACTTTACAATTTTTTTTCAAAATCTAAAATTATTTTTTTACACTAACTAAGGCATTTTATTTAAACAATATTTACAATTGAATTATCTTGAACAGGAATCACATCAAGGCTGCAACAAATCCAAGTTTGTTGGTCATTAATTAACACACTTACACTTATCACAGTAACATTTTTTAGTTTTTCGTATTCAGATATGGGAAACGATTAACTAGATACACTTTTCTTGTTGATGAAATCTTTAATCACGAGCGATATCGCTTTTTCCTTTTAAACTTTTGATCTCATGAATCCTAGAGCATGCTGAGAGTCTGTAATCCTACTCGTAGCTTTTTTTTGATAAGCTTTTACTCCTTACTACTTCGTGCTATGAAATTTCATCAAATATGTCCTGCAATCTTTATAATGCTACGAATTTACACAGAAAAATTTGACTTAGTTTTTGCGATATTTTTCTAAGGGGCTTATTGTTGATTTATTTGTACACATTAATATAAATTTATAAAATGTATGCAATACCTAAAATAGGCTTCTAGTTATGATCTGATTCAAAATTGTATCAAATTGACTCTGAAACGTGACTTGCTCCAAAATTAGACAAAAGTTTAATCATAATTAAGACGATCTCTGAAATTTTTCGATTTAAAGCTCCGTTTTGAGGGTCCTGTTTGCTCCGAATAATTTGAAGTCACAATTGCTCCGAATTTTTCGGCTCAAAACTCCGTTTGATGGAGTCCTAAATTACTAAAATGAGTCAGAGTCATGGTTGCTCTGAAATTTCGGCTTAGAGCTCCAATTTTCAAGTCTTCAGTAGTATAGTGGTCAGTATCCCCGCCTGTCACGCGGGAGACCGGGGTTCGATTCCCCGCTGGAGAGATTTTTTGGTAAATTTTACAATTTTGGAGTATGTCTTATAGACGGGAGCCAAATACATTGCAATGTCGTTTTGACGCAAATCATATTTTGATAAAACGGAGCAAACAAAGTTATCGAAAAATTCTTATTCTTTGATTTAAAACAAAATAAAAAAGTTCGGAATACATTTCATTTTATAACATTGGAGCAATTTACATGATAAAGTTTTGGAGCTAGTTCGTATAAATAACTATTACACCGTTGTTTCCTGATAAATTTTATAAAAATTTTGAATTCTCCGAAATTTGACAAAATTGCAACTACTCCGAATTTGGCGTTGTTGAAGTTGCTCCGAATTCAACAGTCACTGTGACTCCGAATTTCACGCAGAAATGATTGCTTCGTTTTTTACGCAGTCGCAATTGCTCTAAAATTTTTGCAAATCAACGATCGCTATGTTTTTTCAGAGTCCTGATTGCTCCGATTTTTTTGGCTTACGACTCCACTTTTCAAATCTTCAGTAGTATATTTTAATTTTGTTTATTGGTATAAGATCCATACATATAAGGTAAAGTGTGGGGAACGCCAGCTCGGGGAAGATGCCACTTTGCTATATTATCGTTATAAGAAAGAAAATTTAGATAAGTGACCTATTGGAATTTGCGCTATGATAATCCGATTACATTGACACGAAATAACTGATTTTTCACTGCTATTATCAGTCGATTTTCAAAAGTGTTAAAGGTAATGGTTTTCCTCGTGACGAATTTTTCGTACAGTTCAATATGCAGATATTCGTTCAGTTTTCAATGAAATGTTGAAATGGAAATTGTTAATGATAAGTGTTACCTTGGAGATTTTTTTTTTCAGCAGCATAAACCTAAGTCATCAACTTTTTTATTAATGACCTTGTAAAAAAATAGGCATTTGAGGGAAGATGCCAGTACGAGAATCGGGGCAAGATGTCACAAAAAAATTTTTTTTTTCATATCATAAATTTTTTAATATAAATAGTGTGATTGAGTAACTCATTGACTTTAAAGTGTTTAGTATTCACATTTTATTACTGGGGGAAAATGCCTATTTTGAACCAAAATGCGAAATTTGTTATTAAAATAACAATATAATGTGATAATTTTGTTTTTCTTATAATACATAAACCTGTTTTTTATAGTTCTCAATACTTAAGATTTGATTGCATACATTCATTACTTTTTTATTCCAATGTTTTCCTTAGCTATAGCGTATTCTTCCGCTTTATCTTATGGGCGAGACTCAGAATTTTTGAAATAATCGTGCGCACATATGTCACCGACCTGGACGCGCTTTTGGTATTTTATAGTACATGGTAAAAAATTTGGTTCAACTAGTCACCGCTAGGTGGCGTCGACTCAGATCATCCCTCGCGCATTAGAATAAGACTAGTTCTAGGCACATAAGAGAGTCGATCAAGCTAAGCTGCACGTGCGATATAGAATCATACGCCTTCGCATAATCGAACCATCTCGAGTAGGTCTTGCGTCTCGAGAGTCTGGCTGCCTGTGTGCACGCCTTATCCCAAAGCAGCCCGTGTGTTGTACCCCACACATTTTTCCGTGCAAGCTGCTGCCTGGGTATCATCCAGTCGGCCAAGTTCTCCGAGACGATCGCGCTCAGGACCGCCGAGAGGATCTTATAATCGGCATTTGGCACTGCTATCGGTCGGTAGTTTGCCGGGTCCTCGGTATCTCCCGCCTTGTGGATAAGTATCACCCTCGCTTGAACGTCCGCCTCCTGGAGCTTACTTTGTCCACCGATGACCTGGACGATGAAATCTGTAAGGAATTCTCTGGCCACAGGGAGGAGCTTGTATAAAGCGGTCGAGATTCTGTCCAATCCACATGCCTTCCATGGCGGCGACTTATTGATGGTCCGCGAAATCGTTCTGGATAGCCGCTCTGCGCTCACTTGTTGGTCGAAGCTCCCTGCACTTGCATATTCGTGCATCCACTCGAGCCACCGGCCAAACATCGACGTACGCCTTCTGTCCCGCTCCGGGTCCACGTAATTTTGCGTTCTTTCGCTTCGACGTATCACTTGCTGTTGATGCGTTAATTTTCGATAGCTGCTCTCTGAGGAGCTCGTTTATCATAGCTATCAACTCCTCTTGTACGTCCCCGTTCGGCTTTTTTATGAGTCGCTTAGATGTTGCTGCACTTTTTAGCAGTGCCTTAAATCTTCTCCGAAGCACATCGGGCACTTCTGGGGAAGCAGGCGGTGCGAGCGACACGGTTGACAGTACGCTGGCGGTCTCGGCAGGCTCTGTGCTATTATTATTATTATTGCTGTTATTTTTGGTGTCAGTTCACTCGCTGGGCAACACTGATATTCTCTCTTGTATTGCTGTTGTTGACAAATTACTTGCTTGTGTTGAGACTCGGGACGGTTGAGATTGGGCACGCTGATGGTATCATAATGGGAACTTTACGCTGCGGCGTGATCTCCTCGTAATTCGCTCGGATAGTTCCTTGGGTGGTCCGTGCGGGAAGTACCGCTGAAATACTCGATCGCGAAGTTCGGGGTCTCGGCCGACCAGGTGTCGTTTCAGTCGTTCGAAGTGGTTCAACGGTGATTCCCCGGAGCGTGGCTGAAGCAGAATCTCCGGAGGCATGGGTTCGTAAACACCCTGACGGTTCTGCGCCTTTATCGATACCACCGGATTCTGTCTTCGGCCTCTCCAGCGGAAGTATGCCTCTTTACATCTTGGACAGCGGTCCATAGTCTCTCCCTTT